CCAGAAGCCGGCGACTGATCTGCCTCACCTGGGAAGAGCGCAATGATGGTGCCAACTTGGGCCAGTGAAGCAATGTCCTCCACAACTAGATTGAAGAACAAAACCACAGCAACTTGTCTGTTCCCCTTCCCCCGATTCCCCAGCACTGTTCTCATCCCCCCAATTCCCCAATAAAAACCTTTAAAAAAAATAAAATAAAATAAAAAAAGAATATCCCCTAAAGTGTCCCCTAATGAGTCTGGTTTCCTGGTTTCTACACCCAAATGAATACAATCGGTTGCCTGATCCGAACTCTAGTTCCTCAGGGAGGTTGGTTAGCCACAGGAAGTGTCCTGGGTGCTTTGAACTCCCCCACTCCCAGCCAGGCCAAGGCAGACCATCCCTTCCTAGCCCCTGATCTGCAGAGGGAGGTGCGGCTGTTGAGTAGTGGTGGGGACACCCGAAGACACCTCTCTACCAGAAGAAACAGAACTCCTCCCTTCCATTTGCTGTCGCTTGTCATGGCCTGGCTGAGCAGACAATGATTCCAAAGAAACCCAGCAGGACCAAGGTCTGAGCCTGATTTCAACACGGCATTTGTTAGCTAAACTGGCTGTAGCTCACTGCATTTTAAAAAATGACTATAATAAATTTTACACATGGGCATATAGATAAATCAAAGTTAGAAATACATTGAATTCCACAGGTTCTGGCTATGGTTTGAGCATAGATTAAGACCTTGGGAAGCCTAAAGAAACAGCGTCCGCCAAAGCTTGTTTTCTCCACCCGCCCCCTCCAAACACACTCTTCTGTCTCAGCAGGTAGGCTGCTTACTGCCCCCCAAAATGCAGTGCTCAGTGACAATTCTAAGATGATGTTCATATTACCCCCTCCAAATCCAGCCCCTCCACCCCCAAGTTTTTTAGAAGCCTTCTCTGAGTAGCCCCAATGCTCCCTGCTCTGGGTTCTCAGAGTGCCCAGCTTCTGAATTTGTTATTTGATATTCCCCCCCCCCTCCGCCCCCAAATCCTCCTGTGAGTAGCCTTGCTGTCCCAGGTCTACTGCTAGTGCCTGTGGCTTCCTCCATGTCTTGGACCACTCCTGCACACGTACCCCCCACCCCCACCCCCCGCTTCTTCCCAGAAAAAAATAAATTCAGCTTAATTACAGTAAACTTCTGTAAGATAAAAATGCCTATTGTGTTCCCAGCCAGATGCATTAGAAGAGAACAACGAAAACAAAGAAAGACTCCTGAGTGGACGAATAGGTACAGAGGGTCAATATCAATGTTGGTTTGTAGAAAGAAGTGCATTGCTCTTCCCAGAGAAAGACCCTTGGGTTCTTTGTTTTATGATACTCATTTGGAAAAGGCAGCTTCCTTTTTCATAATTAAGGGTGCAGACAGTCTTTGAGCTAGACAGGGGGGTTGGAACTAGATCCAGGTTTCCTAGAAACACACCAAATCACCAGACCTCCGGGCTGACAGCCTTAAAAATTCAGAATGGCTGCTTCAGAGGACTGACTGGGCTACAGAGGCAACAAAGGAAATCCCCCAAGAGAAACCAAAGAGTGCCCAAGGCCAAGTTCAATGTTGTGGAGGACTTGGCCTGGAAACTCCTACCTATGTTAGTCAGAGAGCATGGGTGGTAACCTCCCACTGGCAGAAGTCAAAACAGGAGGGCCAAGTAGGAAAGAATGCTGCGTGAGCATCAAGCTGGCATTACAGATCTGCCATCCAAAGTGAGTATGCCCAACCATAAACCCCGTATCTTTGGCTTAGTAATCACAGCCCTCTACACATTGTATCTCACTTCTCTTCCCCAGCATTTTTCTTCCCTGTCCTCCAAATAAGCAGCATACATTTCTACTCCAGGACCTTTGTACACGTTTTTTTCCCCCACAATGGGAATGGCATCTCCTCCTCTTCACTTAAATCTCACCTCTGCTCAGGGCCAGTTCACATCCCATTTCCTCCCTGAAGTCTTCCTCAAACAATTCACCCTATACCCTCCTCTCCTTCTTCTGAATGCCTGGAGTATTTAATGCCGATTCCTCTCATTTGGCTCTTATTATATATTACTTTGTGTCATTAGTGAACATCTTTTTAAAAATTAGTTAACTTCTGGGGTCGGCTGAGTGGCTCAGTTGGTTAAGAGCGCGAGCTCTGAGCAACAGGGTCGCCGGTTCGATTCCCACATGGGCCAGTGAGCTGCGCCCAAGCTGAGCTGCCGCAGAGCTGCTGGTGTGTGAGAGCACGTGCTCCTAACAACAAGGTTGCCAGCTCGATTCCCTCATGGGAAGGTGGGCTACACCCCTTTGCAACGAAGATTGAACACGGCACCTTGAGCTGAGCTGCCCTGAGCTGCCAAAGGGCAGCCGGATGGCAACTGGACTTGAGAGCTGAGATAGCTGCACCCTCCACAAGTAAAAGTGAAGGACAACAACTTGGCTGTTCCCCTTCCCCAGTTCCCCAACACTGTTCCCCTTCCCCAATTACCCAATAAAATCTTTAAAAAACAAATTAGTTTACTTCTTAAACAGTATCTGGATTATACCCAACCTTTATCACCCACAGTAGCGTCCACATTAATGGTGCTTGAGAAATGTCTTTTAACTGTATGCCAACTACAGACAAGGAACTATTAGGTTGTCGGGAAAATCATGACGTGTTTTTCCTGTTTTTCGTTGCAAAAATGCATCATGACTTTTCTGACAACCCAGAAAAATGGTTACAGAGCCAGCATAAGATAGAGTGCTTGCAACCAGGGAGCCTATCATTCATTTAGGGATTCAGCAAAAAAAATAGGTACATAAAACAAAGGTGTGGGGCCGGCCGAGTGGTGTGATGGTTAAGAGCTGGCTTGGGATGCCAGAGGGCCCCGGTTCGGATCCCACATATGAGGGCCAGTGACACTGCCCTCCACAGCTAAGATGCTGAACAACAGCTTAACCTGGAGCTGGGCTGCCGTGAGTTGCTGGCAACGACATAGGCTACAGCCCCTGCTGCAGTGGGTTGCCATGGGCTACTGTATGTAGCCAACAGCCAGCGTGAGCGGCCAGCAGCTGCAGTGAGCAGCCGTCCAGAAGCCGGCGACTGATCTGCCTCACCCGGGAAGAACGCAATGATGGTGCCAAGTTGGGCCAGTGAAGCAACATCCTCCACAACTAGACTGAAAAACAAAACGACAGCAACTTGTCCATTCCCATCCCCCCAGTTCCCCAGCACTGTTCCCATCCCCCCAATTCCCCAATAAAAATCTTTAAAAAAAAACACACAAAGGTGTATGCACCAGGAAAATTAGAGACCAAAACAGTATATGAGATAGAACAAATGAGGTAAAAAAGAGAGAATGAGCTAGGGTCATCAGAAAAGACAAGAAATAAGATTTAAACTGAGTCTTTGAAAATGATGAAAATTCACACAAGAAATCAGAACATATTTCAAACCAATTGATAGTGAAGAAAACAGCACATCAACATCTGTGAGATGCAGCAGAACAGTGCTTATATGGAAGTTTATAGCTCC